TTACTGGAAATAGATAGTTGTAAAGCAAAAATCTAGGTAAGACATGTGTAGGGCATAGAACATTCTAGTAGGTTTAGGTCGTAAATAAAGTAGTCTAAGTTTCTGTTGTTCATAAAAATTAATGTATATGTAATTGTAATTAAGCGATAAAGTATATGTTAATAAAAACCAGAGGCATAACCTCACCTTAATATTAAAAAAAAAAAATCTTTGCTAATTTTTAATAATTGTCTAATATTTATCCTTTTTAACTTCAATTCTATTAAGCTATTGATATCTAATATTATATTCTACTAGCAGCTTTTATTTTTGCTAAGTTTTGATAATTGCTGTATATTTATTTTTTTTAACTCTAATCCCATTAATATAGCAATATCTAATATTAAATATTTTAATAAAAGCTTTCTATTTTTGTTATTTTTGCTAATTGTTTTATATTCATCTTTTTTAATTTCAATTTTATTAAAATAACAGTATCCAATATTATATATTTCATTAATAGCTTTTATCTTTACTAATTTTTAGCAATTATTCTATAATTATCTTTTTTACTTAAATTCTAATAAAACAATGATATTTAGTATTATATGCTCTACTAATAATTTTTATTTTGTTAATTTTTGATAGCAATATTTAATATAATATATTCTACTAGTGATTTTATCTTATATTTATTATTTTTAATACTAATTCTATTAATATAGTGATATTTAATATTATATAATCTAGATAGATCCTAAAACTTAAATTTTTCTAAACTTTTTAGATTTAGACTATAGTATTAGTTAGTTTTAAATATGATATTTTTGTTTAAATTTCAAATTTTAAACTAAAATCTAAATCTCAAACTAATACAAAAATCTTAAACTAATTTTAAAATTCTAAACTAATTTTAAAATTCAAAATTAATATCAAAATTTTTAAATAATATTAAATTCTAAACAAAATTTTTATACTTTATATACTGACTTATATTTGATATTCATATCTTTTTAATAAAACCTCTTTTATTTGAATTCTATAGATTTATAGAATTTGAATAAAAAAATTTTATTGAATTTGGTCAGGTAGTTGTTGAAATATCATTACTTAAATTTAAAAAATTTAATATAGTTTTTATTTTAATAAATATTTTGATTTTTCTTTAACTTTGAATAAATATATCTCAACAATCACTTAACCAAATTTGATAAAACTTATTTTATTTAAATTCTGTAGATTTATAGAATTTAAATAAAAAAGTTTTATTAAATTTAATTAGATAGTTGTTAGGATATTTTAAAATTAAAAAAATTAAAATGTTTATTAAAATAAAAGCTATTTCAAATTTTTTTAAACTTTAAGCAAAGATATTTAAACAACTATCTGATCAAATTTAATGAATTTTTTTATTTGAATTTTATAAAATCATAAAATTTAAATAAAAAATTTTATCAAATTTGATTAGGTGATTGTTAAATATCTTTGTTTAAAGTTTAAAAAAAATTTGGTATAGCTTTTATATTAATACTATAAAATCTCAAAATAGTAAATATTTGTATATTATTTTAATACTTGTATACTATTTTGAGTATGTCTATAGACATTATTTCAAATAGCTTACAAAAAACTTGTTCAGACTAGATCTAGAACTAAATGTTTTAGAGCAGATCTAAAACTAGTTTAGATAAAATTTAATAAAAGGAAATAATAAATACTTTTGGTATTTTGTTTTTAAAATTATATTAAACTATTAAGTTAGATCTAAATTTTTTAAGAACTAAAGCTAGATTAAAATAAACAAACTTTTTAATATCCCTATTTTGAATCTAGCTTTTTTCAAAATATATAATAGTGAAGTGCACTTTATTTTAGAATATACATAAGTATTATTTTGAATTTATATATGCTATTTCAGAGGGCATAATTTTTGAAATAATACTCATATCCACTATTTTGAGATTTTAAGATAGGTATTTTGATTTTTTTAATTTTGAGCAAGGATATCTCAATATCTAGCTAAACAAATTTCATATATTTTTTTATTCAAATTCTATATATTTATAAAACTTAAATAAAAAAGGTTTATTAAATTTGGTTAAGTGGTTATTGAAATATTTTCACTTAAAGCTTAGTAGTTTTATTTTAATAAATATTTTGATTTCTTTTTAACTTTGAATACAAATATCTTGACAACCACTTGATCAAATTTAATAAACCTTTTTTTATTTGAATTCTATAGATTTATAAAATTCAAATAAAAAAGTTTTATTAAATTTGATTATTTAATTGTTGAGATATCTTTATACAAAATTTTAGAAAATTTTATTTTTATTAAAAAGTATAATATCAAATATAGAAGTATAAATTTTAATATTAAAACTTCAGTATTAGCTTATTAATTTAAGATTTTAATACTAGTTTGAGATTTAAATATTGGTTTATATTTTAGAAAATTATGTTAGTTTAGAGATTTAGCATTAATTTAGAATTTAAATACTTGTTTAGGATTTTGATACTAGTTTAAAATTTTGATACTAGTTTAGAGTTTTGACAACAGTTTGGAATTTTAATAATAGTTTTACAATTTATAACTGAAACCCTAAACCTTTTAGTCTAAAAAATAGGTTTAGAGACCCAACTTTAATATGATTTACTAGCAGCTTTAATATTTGCTATTTTAGTAACTGCTTTATATTTATCTTTTTTAATTCCAATTCTCTTAAAAATTAATATATGATCATATACTTATAGATAAAATAACTATAACAAAAAATTAAAAGATAAATAGCATATCTTAAATTAGAAGTCAATGGAGTTCGATAGAGTTCTAAATAGAAAGTTCTATTACCAACCCTGTTATAAACATTTTGATTAATAAATAATTACTATATTTATATTACTATTAAATTTAACACTTAACTAAAATTGTATTTGCCTAAAATTACTAATTAATATAGTCAGACCTCTTTATAGTCACCTTCTCTATAGTCATATTTACTTATAATCACATAAATTTTTAAAACCAGCTTATATAGTACTTATAAAATTTAACCTCTATATAAGCACAAATTCTCTATAAGCACCAAATTCTTAAAACCAAGGGTGTGATTATAGAGAGGTTCGACTGTATATGCAAGAATCTAATTTTAGAGACTAATTTTATTCAAGTGTAACTTCAGTCAACTGAAGTTGCAATTCAATTAGGTATTAACTAAAAACTAAACAAATATAAATAAACAATTTATAAAGAACCCATAAGTAACAGCTATAAACTAAAACACTCATATTATAACAAGGGAATTAGCCATAATAACCCCCAAAAGCACGGGTCACATAAGAAGACACCACTGCATAATTTCTTAAAAAATTGATGAATCATCTAGCTTCTGCATGTAGTAAAATTTCTTAAACCAAATTATGTAACAAAGCAATATATTATCATTACTAATTATTTAAAGATATAGCTATGGCGATGTTTAGATCATGTGTCTCGTATTTTTGGGGGTCGACCTGGCTAATTCATAACAAGGCCTTAACCAGCAAGTAAATATGTATAGAACAATAAAACAAACCTTTGGAAGGACAAGACTACCAAACTACCATAGTGAGATGAAACAACACTATGAATTATCATAGTAAAACAAAGCAACAATTGTGACAACTACTATATCCTAATCATTGCTTGAAAAAAAAAACTCTAGAACTAATAATTTGACAATGTAAAACAAACTATTAATATTAACAATAAATAAATATTTATTTACCTAATCTGTATTTGTGTAATATATATATATACTAGTGATTTAAGCCTACTAAGGTAGCCACAGCTAAGCCAGCTTAGCCAGCTAAGCCAGCCAATATAATGCGATCAGCTGGCTAATACAGCTAAAGATCATATGATTTACAAATAGCAGAAACCTGAAAAGAATACAAAACACTTTTGGAAATTTTTTGAAATGCTCCAGAAGTAGGCTATTAGTTAGTCATTAGCCAGCCGCTTAGCCGATGTTTTGGTCAGCTGGCTTAGCCAACCGAACCAAAATCATGTGGCTTAAATCACTAATATACACTACTAGGAATGAAGGTTATTATACCGTGGTATAATGTACTGTATATAGTATAATAACCGTATAATTGGTATTAGTATAGTATAATTAATAAAATACCGTATAATTGGTATAATATTTTAGTGTAACAAAGTTAACCAATAGAAATCTAGATGAAATTTATATAGGAATGAGTGAGCACGTGACAAATCTATATGTACTTTCTAGGCATTATATAAGGTTATTATACGGTAATTATACCGTAAAATAACCTGGTATTTATACCAATATTTATTATACCGTAAAATAACCTGGTATTTATACCAATATTTATTATACCATATAATTGCCATCCCTATACACTACGTGTAAACTAAGAAATTTTCTTTTGTTTATACATAAAAATTTATATATAAATTATTAAACTTGAATATATTCATAAAATTAAACTAAACTTAAACAAACCAAAAATTTAAATTTAAGTTCAATTTAAATTCATAAATTTAAAATTTAATTCAGGTTTAGTTTCAAGATTTGCAAAATTTAAAGTCTAGTTCAGGTTTAATTAAACCTAAACCTAAATCTAAATTAAACTTAAAAACACTACTATATACTTTCTATTCTTAAACTATAATTTAAAAAATATTCAAATTTGTTTAATTTTAAACCAAACATGATCTGAAGTTTGATTTGGTTTAGATTAATAAAAATACTACTTTTACTACCACATTACAATTATAATTTGCATTTTTTTGTCTATTTATAAAAAATTTTACTTCAAATTTTAAAATATTGTAGTGTACTAAAGCCATTCTTGAAAAAATAGCATTTTAATTTTAAATTTTTTGATTGTTTTGGCCAATCATCGTTCTTGTTTTTTCTACCAATCACATCCTATCATGTAATTTGTTACACTTTAGATAATCTCCAAATTTAGTTAGATCAGTTTACCATTAAAATAATACCACAGTATCAAAACTTTTTGAACATTCCACGAAGTGTTAAAGCGCTTGATGATTCTTTAGACGGTTTTATCAAAGTAACTTTGCCTTTATCCGAAACTACGGCGTAGGACATTGTAGGTATATAAGGTGGGTATTGTTGGCTAGAGGAATTGTTTGATGGTTCTGGATTCGCGGCAACAATTTCTTCTATAGAAGGTGATGTAAATCTAAACGGTTTGTTGAATAATTATAAATTAGCAACAAGTAATTATTGCTAAAACAATAGAAAGGAAATAAAATCTCACGATTTCAATCCTCCAAGAATAGGTTCAATACGAGTAGACAAGTAAAAATCTCCGGGTCCAGACAATTGCAAAAATTCCTAAAAGCATTTAAGTTAGGATAGATACCTTATATTATTTGGCACTTATTTTAGACAGTATCATCATGAATATCTTAAATAGTTAATATACGAACAGGACCACCAAATGCCCATTTTCTTGTTTTCACTGATATTCTCTTCATATTGTCTAAGGTGGGCTTTATAGATGGACTACTAAGATAGGTGTCTAAAAAAGATGATGATATCTTTGAAAGTCTCTCTCTCATAACCTTTACTAGTTTATTTCTCGTAATGGACGAAGGTGATATTAATGATGATGCTACGATAGGATTTGTCTGCGAGTTCCATGCAATTAAATGTCTGAATTAAAGTATAAAGATATCGTCAATGAAAGGTTGATTGATGAAAGAGAAATACGTAAATAACGACGAATTACTTTGCATTCACCAAATAAATATCGCCAGGATTCAATATTAATCGATGGATAGCCCCATAATTTGAAATTGCCAGTGTACCTCTGCCAGTAACACAATTTGCAAAAGCATTCAATGCACCCTGAAATAATGAGTAGATGATGCGGTTAGGTCGTGAAAAATAATTAATAAAAGATTAATGTTGCAATGTAACATACCATGCCATATACACGGCTGACATGAATCGAGACTCGTGGACCTTTTGCGAGAAATGCACCTTTCCGAACGTAGTATTTTGACGCACCATCCATATTGATGACAGCAATATCAGACAAATTGTTTGGACCCAATAAAATGTCACCAGGATATGAACCGGTCGTAAACTGACATGTCAATAGAGTCCAAGTGTGTCAAATTTAAAGCTAAAAGATACTCAGAATAGCATTGTTTGTATAGCATTCATTAGTTTATTACTTTATGGTAAACTAAGGAGCCACCAGCAAGCTTTCTGCCAAATGCAATAATAATATTTCCATCGGTAGTACGTTCCACTTGAACCTATTTGTGATCTTTATCAGTTATTTTAAGTAAGACGACAAAAAAAAATATATATATATTGTAATCACGCACTTTGCTTGATACGGCAATCGCAGTTCCTGGTATCGCAAATATCTCTGATCTTGGTGGAACTTTAACCAAGAGTAACGCACCCAAAGTTCCCGGAGTGACAACCTCAAATGTGGGGTCTGGAATAGGATGTT